TGAATGGGACGTAGTGTAAGGGGACGAAAAGTAATGGGACGAAATGATAGGGAGCCGAACGAAAGAGGGCGTACATTTCAATATTGGAACTAAGAAATTACAGAGTAATTAACATAAAAGAGACAATCTAATCATATCTAAAATAGGTTTAAGTTTAAAGTAATCAAGGATGTTCTATTTAAACATCATTTTTACAACACTTTTTTCATTATTTACAATTATTTACAATGGCTTATTCTCCATTACCTGCTCTCGACAATTTAACTACACGCGAATGGCATAATTTAACTTCTACCACGGAACAATGCATAGAATTTTGTCAACGTGTTGGCTTATTACATGTTTATCCAACGGAACCATGTAAAAAATGCACAATAATTGGTATTTAGGGTCCTGTTCAACATCAAACGATAACTGCAAGTGGCGTTGTCGTACATGTAAGTATTCTCGTTCATTACGTTATGGTACTTTTTTTCCAAAGAGTCGGCTAACATTACAACAAATTTTGGAATTAATGTTTTACTGGTCGCAAGGTTTACATTCACATAGATTTATTACTTTTCCTTTCCTGTTTGTCGTTCAACCAATACAAGGGAGTGTCGATGATCTGAAGAAGAAGTACTTATCTATGAATATGTTTCTGTTTTTATTTTAAGTTTGAATTATATTTAATTACATTTAAAAAGACAATGAATAATCTAAATATTTTTATGGTTACTGAAAGACTAATGGCGTGTAGACAAAAAGAACATACGATAGTTTTTCTTTAAATGGTGCTTTTTTAAATGATCCTTCTAGTTCTGTATCAAACTTCATCTTTAATGGTTTTTCATTCGAACTACTAATCTTGGATGTAGATAATGATTCAGGAGGTTTTGTCGCATCACTTGTGGATGGTTTAGTCATATCGAGAAAATCTGCATTTGCTTCATCGTTAGCTGGAAAAACAGTAAATGGATTTGTATAAACAATTGCTGATGGAATCATTACAATACCATCTCGAATATGAAAAAAAAAGTAATATTAATAGTCACTTGTTAAAAAAGAAAATTAATTAATGGCTTGCCATCTTTGGTTTTTAGATGTACATATCGAATACCGATATAATGAACGAGACCTTTTTTAAAGGTAATATTCAATATGATTTAGAATCAAAATAAAATTTACCTTCAATTCCACCATTACCATCACTTCCATGAATTTTAATCCGACATTCTCAAATAAATGGTTTATTAATAACAAGAAAAATACCCGATATAAAATTCGTTGCTACTTCTTTAAGAGCAAAACCAATTGTAAAACCTGTTATAACAATACCAGCTAATAATGATTTAGTATCAACACCCACTGTTACAAGTGTAGTGATACCAATAAATGCATACATTATTATTGCAGCTATTTTAGAAATTAATCGACCTAAATCTTCATCTTCAATAATATGTGAATGAAGAAAAATACCTTTATATCAATGGAGAAAGAGAACGAAAGCCTTTTAATCGTTGCATTGTTGTTAGTGGTGTTGGAGGGGGTGGTATCGGATATGAAATTGTTGGTGTTGTGACGTCTATCGATTTAGATCCTCATCTGAACGAACCGAAAAATCAACAAATACGACCAGATGGTCGCTTATTTGATGTATTTTGAGCTATGTAACGATTCTGTTGTTGAGAAGAAAAGAATAGATGATTATTGTATGATGCTACTAAACATCGCCTTGTAATATTAGTTATATTTAGAGCAAATCGAGAAATCATAAGCATCAATCAACAATACATAATCAAAGCTATCATAGTAATGGTAAAAAACAAAAAGAGATTTATTTGTAACATTAAATCGGAGAAATCTTTACTATATTGGGTGTGGGCGTGGGTGTGGGTGAGGTGTGTGTGTGGGGTGTGGGTGGGTGTGGGTGGGTGTGGGTGTGGGTGTGGATATTGTTCTCATTTTCAATCCATACCCACACCCACATCCACCCACACCCACACCCCACACCCACACCGACCCACACCCACACCCACACCCCACACCCACACCCACCCACAGCCACACCCCAC